ATTGCATTGAGATCGACTTGTGAGACTATAAACTTCCACAGATAGAAATGGTTTAAATATGCCTTACGTAAGTCTAGTTACCGTCTAACATGCACTTCTGACTTATAGGAGTAGGAATAGCCAAACTAAGAAGTAAGGTTAGTCAATGTAATCACTGACTGCTCATCTGAGCTTTGAAAGTGGATGTTAACTATTTTTAATTAGTACTCCACTCAGCAATCATAATCAGTGGTTTGAGAAACTGGTTAATTACATAAAATTAGTAGTCCAGTGAAACAAGTACATTCTTCAACCTTCTTTCAATTTTCAGTTGTATGTCATTATTATGATATGCGTTCCAAAGATCTGGACGTGATACATGCTGACCGTCTAAAACTAGCTACTTAAGTGAGAAAGCGCGATGACAGTAGAAAGTCTATTTAACTACCGAATAATATATACGAATACTTTTCTAAACACGAACATTTCATCTTCATAGAAAAGAAAGTCACTTCTTGACCAATGCTATGTAATTATTTTTTAGGACATTTTTCTAATGATCATCAAATGACGTTCTCATTAAGCCACTTCCGGTCAACTCATTCCATCAATGATCACCTAGCTTTGCATTATTTTATTCTGTTTGTTACTTTTAAGCTTTTTTATACGTCTAATGATGTTAGAATTAACTGGTTTTCGTTGCCTTTTATTTTATTGATTTCCTTTCTTACTGTAAGGTGTATTCATGTAAGTTGTGCTAGATTTGACGTCAATGATAACTATTTTATACTATAGATGGAAATTTCAATTCATGTTTATTACAAATGTCAATACAATAATCTTTGTTTTATTTGTAACCATGAATCGATCAATGTTAGACTACCATTAGAAACCTGGAAGCACTGAAAGACGGCCGTTTCGTCCTGGTATGGGACTCATCAGTGGCAGTGCGCATCCACGACTCCTGCACCCCGCAGGATTCGAACCCGGAACCTTCGGTACTGTGCGCGAACGCCCCAACCGTTAGACCACTGAGCCGGTACCTAACGGTGTTAATGTCTAACTTGATCAAATTCACGGAGTTGCGCAACCTCATACCCTGTATACATCCGAACAGGTTTGAACTTCACTGGTCACGACTTCCCACTAGAACTGGGAGAAGATTCCTCACCAAGCTAGTCACTAGTGGACACATGTAATTGCATTGAGGGGTTGTTGTGAAGATTGTTAAGTTTTTTTTATTAGTAACCATGACTCGATCAATAATCATCCTTATTCATAAATTCTTCTTTATTTAATCTAAAGCATTTTAAAGATATCGGTAAAGATTCCCAATGTTCAAATGTCAATATTAATCCTCAATTATTACAAGAATTAACATCCAATTTAATTGATCTACTTGGTCCAATTTATACAGAACATTGTATTATATTAAATAATTTTGAAAATCGTCTATCCAATTGGTCATCACAACAAAATGATCACAGTAAAGAATCCAATGGTTTAGATGCATTGACTATGAATTCTCAATTAACAAATTCGTCAATGGAATATCGTATCGGGGATTTATTTGTTGCAAGTTTACATATTTTACCGGTAGGTTTGTTGGTTTGTTTATTTGCACTTTTTAATATTGATAACTGATTCCCGTTTTTTTTTTGGTTCACATTTCAAATTATTGCGCAAGAGGTATACACACATACACACACACACTAGTTTGTATGTTTGTTAGTTGATACTTTCACAGTTTATCAATCCCAATCAGAAATTTGTAAGCAATCAATTATCATATTCACTTTTCATGTGTAAATGTCAAATGACCTTGAAAATGGAAATACATAATTTAGTTATCATAAGATTTAGTTAAATAAATGTTTCATTATATATATATATAATGAAACATTTATTTAACTAAATCTTATCATAACTAAATTATGTATTTCCATTTTCAAGGTCATTTGACATTTACACATGAAAAGTGAATATGATAATTGATTGCTTACAAATTTCTGATTGGGACTGATAAACTGTGAAAGTATCAACTGACAAACATACAAACTAGTGTGTGTGTGTACGTGTGTATGTGTGTATTCCTCTTGCGCAATAATTTGAAATGTGAACCAAAAAAAAACTGGAATCAGTTATCAATATTAAAAAGTGCAAACAAACTAACAAACCAACAAACCTACCGGTAAAATATGTAAACTTGCAACAAATAAATCTCCGATACGATATTCCATTGACGAATTTGTTAATTGAGAATTCATAGTCAATGCATCTAAACCATTGGATTCTTTACTGTGATCATTTTGTTGTGATGACCAATTGGATAGACGATTTTCAAAATTATTTAATAGGATACAATGTTCTGTATAAATTGGACCAAGTAGATCAATTAAATTGGATGTTAATTCTTGTAATAATTGAGGATTAATATTGACACTGGAACATTGGGAATCTTTGCCGATATCTTTAAAATGCTTTGAATGAAATAAAGAAAAATTTTATGAATAAGGATGATTATTGATCGATTCATGGTTACTAATAAAAAAACTTAACGATCTTCACAACAACCCCGCAATGCAATTACATGTGTCCACTAGTGACTAGCTTGGTGAGGAATCTTCTCCGAGTTCTAGTGGGAAGTCGTGACCAGTGAATTTCAAACCTGTTCGGATGTATACAGTGTATGAGGTTGCGCAACTCCGTGAATTTGATCAAGTTAGACATTAACACCGTTAGATACCGGATCAGTGGTCTAACGGTTAGGGCGTTCGCGCACAATACCGAAGGTCCTGGATTCGAATCCTGCGGGATGCAGGAGTCGTGGATGCGCACTGCCACTGATGAGTCCCATACCAGGACGAAACGGCCGTCCAGTGCTTCCAGGTTTCTAATGTTGGTCTAACATTGATCGATTCATGGTTACAAATAAAAAAAAGATTATTGTAATGATATTTGTAATAAACATGAATTGAAATTTTCATCTACAGTATAAATTAGTTATTATCAACGTCATATCTAGCACAACTTACATTAATACACCTTACAGTAAGAAAGGAAATCAATAAAATAAAAGGCAAGGAAGACCAGTTAATTCTAACGTCATTAGACGTATAAAAAAGCTTAAAATTAACAAACAGAATAAAATAATGCAAAGCTAGGTGATCATTGATGGAATGAGTTGACCGGAAGTGGCTTAATGAGAACGTCATTTGATGATCATTAGAAAAATGTCCTAAAAAATAATTACATAGCATTGGTCAAGAAGTGACTTTCTTTTCTATGGAGATGAAACATTTGTGTTTAGACAATTATTCGTATATATTATTCGGTAGTTAAATAGACTTTCTACTCTTGTCTTGCTTTTTCATTTAAGTAGCTAGTTTTAGGCGGTTAACAAGTATCTCGTTCAGATCTTTGGAACGCATATCATAATAATCACTTGCAATTGAAAATTGAAAGAAGGCTAAAGAATGTACTTGGATCACTGGACTACTAATTTTATGTAATTAACCAGTTTCTCAAACCATTGATTATGATTGCTGAGTGGAGTACTAATTAAAAATAGTTAACATCCACTTTCAAAGCTCAGATGAGCAGTCAGTGATTACATTGACTAACCTTACTTCTTAGTTTGGCTATTCCTACTCCTATAAGTCAGAAGTGCATGTTAGACGGTAACTAGACTTACGTAAGGCATATTTAAACCATTTCTATCTGTGGAAGTTTATAGTCTCACAAGTCGATCGCAATACAATCCTTTTACTTCAGATACACCACAAGAACTTAGGGTCTCTGTGCTGAAAGTTCGCTCACGAGACCTAAACTATGGAAGAAGTAGTTGGCAAAAACAACTGTAATTCCTGTGGTTAGACTGACAGTAGATGTAGATGAATCTTGAAGTAGCACTGTAAACTGAGAGAAACATGTGTCTGAAATACTCTTCCATTCGTTGGGCATTTAGAAGGCCCTCTTTTTAGCTTCTTCATCAAACAAAGTTATATCATCAACATGTATTAGGTTGACCAAGAAATATCCGAGTTAACAATCACTCTCTGAACAATCAGATATAGATATTTATATCTTCAGCAATATATATATATATATATATATATATATATATACGAAAGAATGAAATAAAATTCCATCAAACGAGACATTCTGAAGAACAATACTTGTATTATGTTCGTCACTAAGTATGCTTGAGGCTATTACGAGTTTACCTTTATCGAATCGATAAACGCGAACGAGACAATGAACCAGCGTCTAGGTAGGCTACCTTGTGTCCCATCGGAAGTAAAAAAAGCTTTGTAAGCGTAGGAAGTATATTCTACAAACATCCAGCAATCACAGTACAATTAAGCATACAACTCTCGTTTATTTATACATCATAGAAATGTCCTTGGGACAGTCACAAAAATAGCACACTAAAATACACAGTAACCAATCACAGCTATGGATTTTCCTGGTTGGGAATTGAAATCTCAAGGTCAACTGATCAGCCCATACTCGCAAATGTGAGATCCAATATAAGGTATTTATCAAGCGAGTTTTGGGGATCTAACATCCCCAACAACTTGGGATAAGTAAGTCAAATGACAGTTCACCATAATCTATAGCTGAACCAAGCCTTTACCATAAACTTAAGATGGATAGAGTTGGGGATTATTGTCCGTGTAGAGAAAAAATATATTGGCCAAATAATAATAATAATAATAATAATAATCTAGGAGCATCATAATTTATTGTTCAAGCTGCTTAGATACTCAAAGTTATTTGTATTTATGTTTAGTATAAAATCAAAAAAGATTTACAAAGTCCTCGCCTCCATTTGTCTAGTATTTACATTTGGTTTTGTGATTTTGACATTGATTAAAATTGCAACTATTCAAATAAACAATGTGGAAATACTGGGTAGGGGGAGGACAAAGTACACTAGAGAATTTTTAGAAGCACAAACAAACACATCGACATTGACTCAATTTATCAACCAATCAGAAAAATCATAGGGGACACAAGATCAAGAAACAGATCAAAAAGGAGATACAATCGAAACAAATGTGCAGACAACGACAGGTATAAGGTCAACAACAACCAATCAAGATCGAGGTTAGCAGAACAAGCTACAGGTCAAACATGGAGAAATTCGAATGCTTCACTTCTTCTATCTGAAGTTTGTGCTGATGATGTTGTCCAGCAGGAGAACAATGAAAGCTCCACAACCAAAACAACCAGCTCAGACAACGAAACACCACTACAATCATCCACCTGAGCTACAAGTTTTCTCCACCATCTCTAAAAAATTCTATTCTATTGAGAAATGATTTAACTGAATAGATATGTTATTAATTTTTGGTACGAATATTTTAAAAAAAAATATGGACACCTTTTTTGTTGAATTTTTTTTTAAATTTTACTGATGACATATTGTATTGATCGTTTTTTATGTAATAATTCAATTAACTAACAGTTGTGAATAAACAATTTTTTTCCTAAGAAGTACAAGGGGAAAAGGGAGACAGCAACTATGTTATATTGTGATCATGTGTTTACATTACATAAAATTAATTGATATAGACAAAATGATCTGTTATTCTGGTTTACTCCACAAGTGTTCAAAGATTTAAACAAATTACTGTTTGGGATAAACAGAGCACATTATTCATAAAAGACTGTGTTAATGTTAAGTCATGCTTAAAAATTATTAGTTCAGAGGTTATTGAACTGTTAGTGTCAATATCGTTAAGTTAAATAGAAAATGAACTGGTTTATTCCTATGAAGTACTGAGGTCTACCATGCAACTTGCTTAACCTTCTTCCCATGTTGATTTCACGTCTTAGAATAAACATGTTACTAGATAATTACGAACTTTCAGTATCTAGTGGAAGTATACAAAATATAGAAGCACAAATTACTAAATGTCTGATATTTTATCATACCAAAAGAAATTCAATCTTATATTTACCTAATTTAATGAGAATCTCTTTAGTTTTCAAACATATCTACATATATTTTGAAAAAAAGTTCGTGATATTTGTTAGGGACGTTAGATCCCGAGAACTAATTTTGGGTTTTATGTTTTCGCGCATCGTCTGATCAGTTGACCTTGAGATTACATTTCCTACCCGGAAACCCCTTGACGGCCATTGGTTGATGTGTTATTTTCTAGTACGCTATTTTTGTGGCTCTTCCAAGGACGTTTCTATCATGTATAAATAGACTCGATATGTGTGCTTGCAGACCTCGATTTTCTGCGTCCTTGTAGAACACACTTTCTATGGCATGTCAAGACTTCTTCATCTACTTAGTGGGGCTTTGGGACAACCGATTAGAATAGTCTATCGTATCACTGGATCATTTGTCTTTGCTCTTGTTTACGGACTAAGGTGAACTCGTAATAGTTTGAAGCATATCAATTGACGAGAATATCAATATTTTAAAAATAACGCCTTAACAGACACATACATACACACAGTCTAGCTTAGTATCCAGATTATCTTCAATAATTTAGGCCATAAATTTGTCAGGAAAAATTTTCAAAATAAACAACGTGAAAAACAAAATTTTTGGCATAAAGTTAAATGTTCAACTGTATACAATACAGTCAAACATTAGTAAAGTTTGGAATTATCTCTATTGA